TTTGACATCTTCTCAGGAAGGTAACCCGGGCCCACGGCGCGCGTCGCTCTAGGGGCCCCGCGGGCGCGAGGGAGACGAGGGGAGAAGAAAGAATATGACCGAGGCACCCCATCCGCGTGGCCGCAGAGCGCCTCCCTCCACATTCTCGCGCGACAATGCAGCAAACTCCCGAGAAATTCACCCTGCAATCACCCGGCGAAGTCAAACGTTCTCAGGAAGCAACAATGGCGGGAGGCGTCGACGCGTCGCCGGCACGACAATGAGATCATTACAAAACGAGGCACCGGATTTCTCGCAAGGTAGCGCCAACACGTACGTCCCTCTTCGCCCAAGGGTGGAAGCACTTAACGCGTCTCGCGTCGCTTCGACGGCACCTCTCGTCGTCGTCGTCGTCGTCGTCTCGCTTGACGCATGTTTCCTTGAGAAAGTCGCGTGTACGTGAGTGGGGGTAGTTGCCGAAGTCCTTAACCTTAGATTGCGCGCGGAGGAAAAAAGGTAGAGATTGCAATGAATTTTCGTAGATCGTTGCACTTTCCTCTCTCGAGGAAGCAAGAGCTTTTCATGCTAGTTGCTAGCTTCGAAAAAAATAGGACGAATTAAATCAAGCTCGATCGCGGCGCCAGTAAGAATAATCCTACGAGATGCGAGATTCTTATCCCGGAATCTGAGCGACAAATCTGTCGTTGGCCCGCCTATCGATTCTCCCGGAGGAAAAGAGAGAAGAAAAAAGCAGCGACGTCGAGGGGTTAATGTGCGCGGAAGGAGGTGGCATGGCGGCGCTTTAATAAATTTCACCGGGGTCGGCGATTTATTTTTGGCGGATATTGGGACGCGCGCGCGAATCGATCGCAGCAACAAATACGCGCAGCGGCGATAGTCGTAAAGCTCGTTATCGCATTATCTCGGACACCCGGAGGCCCGTTGGACCAAAGGGAAAGGAGGGGGGGGCACGACCTATTCTATGGGGAACTCGCGTTGCACGGAGGGGGGAGGGGCGGGGGTGGTCCCGGCGCGATCGGCTCCATTATGCCATGCGGAGCGTATCGCCCCGTGTATCTACGTGCTCCGCTCTGCACGGACGGCGCCGATAACATTGACGTCGCGATAATTTTGTAATATCGTGTCCGGCGTATGCGTGTACGTACACGTGCGCCTGACGTGTGTCTGTGTGTGTGCATGTGCACCGCGCATACGTGCACCGTGTGGGCGAGACGCAAACAGCATGCCGGAGAGCAAACCTTATCGAGTTTTCGGAATCGCGGTAAACCCGAAAAAATGCAATAATAGACGGTGCTGGGGACGTTCCGCTTTTGCAACTGTAACCCCGTAATATGCCCGGAACGATTCCGTTATCTCGGCGATGATTGCGATATCGAGAGGACACCGAAGGTAACGTGGTCGGGCTAAAGTTCGTGGATTCTTGTTCGCCACGCAGCTGTCTCTCAAAACTGCGATTAGATTTTCGTGCTGTGACGCTGTATTCTTAACGTGGTTCGGTGTATTGAGTAATCATTGCATTCTTCTGTCGTTATGTTGATACATCGTGACGAGACGCGCTGAGAAAAAATACTTGAAAATTTATACGTGCACGGAACTAAAGATTTGGCTGAATTAACCGAATTTCTGGTGAAATGTAAACAAACTAGAATAATTCCAGTCAAAACTTTGCGTTCAAGTTAACAAGATTCTGATTAACTAGAACTTGCAACTGTTCTGGTAACTTCAATTGGAACTTCTGGTATGTTCACCGGACATTTGCTTAATCCAACCAAATCTTTTTCCATATGAGGCATAAAGTTTATTTCTGTGAAGTAAGATCTATTTCTGTGAATAAAATTTATATCCTACTAATAAATCTCCAAGTATTTTCTTCTTACAAGTAAACCTACCCAAAAGTTACTCCGATTTCTTTCTAATTTGGCATAAATGTAAAAGTACAAAAAATATTTAGATCATATTTTTTCATTTTGGCCTACTTTGTGTTTCACGGGCAGTTTATAGCTATTTAATGTTCTCACTCTTCAAGTGCAACACAAATAAAATTGAATATAAGATACAGGCGTTTTTGGTTTGCTGATTATGAATATGAAGTCCAATGTGTAAAATTATTTGTATAAATAATAAAACAAAACATGTAAAAAGTTGAAAAAAAATTATTTATACAAATAATTTCTCGGTTTGGCCGAGATTCGAATCATGTTTGACTAATTTAGCGCAGATTTAAAATATTTCGGTTGGAATCTCGGCTAAAGAAATTTAGAATGATTTGTGTCTCAGTTATGCCGATTTTGTTAAAATTGTTTAACTATGTCTTGTATTCAATTTTATTTTTTATGCATTTTTGTTGTACTTGTTAATGATAGAAGTGAGAACATTAAAAAGCTATAAACTGTCCGTGAAACTCAAAGTGGACTAAAATGAAAAAATATGACTTGTACTTCTACATTTGTACCAAATTAGAAAAAAATCGGAGTGTACCTTTTGGATAGGTTTACTTGTCAGTGTACAAAAGTCAGACGGCAAATTCGCGAAGCGTGCGATGATCGAGAGACATGTATAGCGTGGAGGAAGAGTGTCCGAGCACGAAACGATGAATATCGCGCGATTCATTCAGTGGCGACAATCCGATAAGGCGGCTTTTAAAGTCCTTGAAAAAGCAATACATCGCGCCGTCGATGCGACCGAGAAGGGCGAAGGGAGCTCTCAATAAATGTCCCGCCGGATCCTGCCCGCACGTGACTCTCTTATCCTGCGATCTTAAATACTCGGCTGCGCGTGTCGATCATCCCGATCGTCGCATTAACTCTCACAAATGACCCTGCCCGAGCCTCATATTTTATATCGCACTGACGCGACGATCGAAAAGGCATCCGCTATTTTTCCAACGGATCTTATCTTTGTGAATATGTTCACGTCGCTTAAGATAGAGAGATCACCCTGTTAAAAGATCTTTAGATTCCTGACAGATTAAGGGTGATTTGATAGCAATGAAAAAATAATTTAAAATAATGCGAGTGAGAGAAAAAGAAAGAGTTTATATTTTTCATGGATTTTTTTATTTTAGGTTATGCCGTTGGATGTCTCTTATTATTTGAAGCATAAGATTATTCATTTCTTCGAGCATCACTCTATTGTAACGGTTTAAATACTCTTGGATAAGAAACAATGACGTCTTGATTCTCTTCACGCGGTTTTTGCTCCTGTGGCATTTTAATCGAAGGTTCGCCCATCAGGTATATATCTAACCGCCGAAGAGCAATGTTGAACAATATGCGAAGGGCGAACCGCTCGACACTGATTTAAAAATGCATTAACGCGCGATCACGCGACGTTACCCTTCGCATCGACCCGCAATATTCACGAGCGCGCGACATGACAACAAAACGAGAAAAGTCGTCGAACATACGTGGCGCAAAACTGCGTTGGGCAACGACAGTTTCCAAGATCTCTAGGGAGCGGAGCGCCGCGTTACAGACAGGCTACGCGAACGTCCGTGTTATGGGGTTGTCAAAGCACCGACAGGATGACATCTCTATTATCACGTACCGACCATAAAGCAGGACCGGCACGAGCTAGCTAGAGGGAACAAGGAGAAGAGAGAGTAAGAGAGAGTGAGAGCAGGAGTAGCGACGAAGAGGATCGGACGAGGAGAAGCGAGAGATTCCACGCGGAAACGCGTGCCACCGAGATAACGGATCTCCCCGATGATAATCCTCCTTGGTGTCGCGCAGAGCTACATATGGCCGTACCCCATGACTGTTAAATAGATCTCCGCGTTCGCAGTTGTTAAGGACGCGTTTCGTATACGAATTCGTCACCGGGTTTGCGTCAATGCTTTCGTCCTAGCCAAAAATTGCATTTTTTTTAAGGTACAAATAATCGCGAATTTCGCGAATTTCGCGATTATTTAGCAAAACTATCGCGACAGGAGTAAGAGGATGATAATAACAGTTCGTACAATGTCACTTCGATATCTCTCGAGCAAGAAATGATTCGTATAAAACAGAAGGAAGATCCAACTAATGAATATTTGCGTCGAATTGTCTGTTTATTGTTGGAGGCTAACGAGTTCGTGCAGCGCGGAAAACAACATTCTGGCGAAATCACGGCGTGCTAGACCGCGCGCGAACGCATTCGTTTGGTCGCATTCGTCGAGTGGTGTGAATGGGAAGCCACTCGAGGGAACGTGAGGGGTCGGGTGCGATGCTTGAAAGCTCGCCGCGGCTTCCGGTCAGTCAGCACATAATTTCGTTACTTTGCGCGAAATTGGATTAAGGGGTTCGTTAAGGGCGCATTAGAGCACGTTAACGCGCGTCACACGATGACCCAGGCGGACCCTGAATTACATTGTACCGCTCGGTGAAATTTCAATGGGCCGCCGCGACATGGCCACCCGCTGCGTCCTGGAAACTACCGCGCGTTTTTCCGCACGTTTCCCCGAACTTTGACGGCTATTTTCTTCGGGCGCGCCGTCGTTCGAGTGCTCTTTGTAACGGTCGGATTTACGAGATTTTCTGCATTACGATCAAAAGCTGCCCGATCATCTGTACCCGCCCTAATCACTTAATATCTTATTTTCTAATTTCAAAATAAGTAACATAATTAAACAAGTAAAATAAGTAAAATAAATAAGTACCATAATTCAAAATAAGTAACATAATTAAACAAGTAAAATAAGTAAAATAAGTAAACAAAATTTCGACATCACACATTATATTGTCTGTAAATAAGAATAACATTTCAGCTGCACGCGACTTTGTATTTGCTCACTTTCTGATCAAATTCCTTTTCTCATTTCTTTCTTCAACTCCTACTAGATATCGCGATTTGTCGCAAGTGTTTAGAAGATATCGGTCTTGCACAGCGAGAATCCAGCGATTCTCCTTCATAATTACTATATTCTATTGAGTTGAGAATAAATCTGGGGCAATGACAATGTCGCAGCACGTGGTCACCGTGGACGAAGAAGGAGTCACAATGAGAAGAGAGAATGTACTCACCGGTTACAGTAGCCAAACTCGTCGTATAGAGGACCTCCACGTGCGGAAAGCGCTGGCAGTCCTTCCTTCCTTCATCTTTCGTAGTTCGCCGACCGGATCGTCGCCGCAGGACGCAGCCCGTAGACGAACGCCAAGTAAACGCCAGGCTGCGGGCCATGGCCTCTTAATTATAAAGCTCGTCGGCGATAATTGTCGTGTAGTTGGACCAACATTGTGACGGCATGTTTTCCCGCCACGCCCAGCTCGCTGTTCGTCGCAGCAGGTGAGCTCGTTCCTCGTGTTTGCACCCGTGGGACTTGACGAGTCTCCTCTCTCCCTCTTTCTCTTTTCTCATGTCCTTATTAAGCACAACGAGACTCTGCGAGATTGTGTATCACGGAACAATCCTCCCCGTGCCGATGAATCGCGAAATTTACGTGGGAATCCGGACGCGAAAAGATTGGCTATCATTTTGGAGAGGAAGAAAAGAGAGGCAAAGTCTCGTAACATGAAAGCAAAACAGAAAGTTAGATCGGCAACCAGACGAAAAAAGATAAACATCTTTTTTTCTGACAACAGAGGCAACGGGAAAGCTCGGGAAGCTTCAAGAGCGACACGAGTTTTTCTCATGTTTTTCCATCTCAATCTTAAAAGTGTAAACAATCTTAACTTCGAAGAAGCATACCACAACAGCCGTTTTTATTCGACTACGACGCGAGTAGAGTTGTGCGTTAGTTTCTCGATCTGGGGGTCGATCGATACCAGAGTAATTTAAAAATCAACCGCCTCTTATTTCGGCATGAGAGCAAAGGGAGAGGCAAAATGAGGGAAAGAAAAAAAAACGAAGAGTTGCCGTTTCTGCAGGGAACTCGATAGCCAAAATATTGAATTTCCGCAGAAAGAAGAGAGGATGGACATCGTTCCCCTGCGGAGAACTGCGAGAAATCGAGCAACAAAAAGAGGGTGGCTTTCTTGCGCTCCACCTTTTCTTCCTTTCCCTTCGCGCTTCTTATAATGCAACCCTCCTACCCGGACCGTTCCCCGTCGCGACGACGAGACCTCCCTTCGGATCGCACGGGAGATCCCGCGGCGACGACCGATTCTAATCGATCTTTTGATTCCTCGTCGTTTTAACTCTGCCCCGCGGGCATCCCTTAACGAAGACGTCGTTAACGCCCTTTTCCCGTCGGCTTAACATTTTTTAGGGCGAATCCTGCGCTTTTTTCTGCGCGTTATCGTCGCCGTTACCGCCGCTGGGAATCCCGGTAATTTCAGCCGCGCGAGAAACATCTCGGTCAAATGCCCCGTTCGCGGAAGAGAAATGAGCGTTTATTGCGACAATTCTGTATTTACGGCCCCTCGAAAATTCTAATCGTTGAGACTTTAAAGGAGACGTCCGGCGTTTCTCTCGTGAGAATCGCGGCAGAACTTGATCTTGACGAGGAATTTTACAAAACACATGTTGGCGCAGAGCGCTCTCTCTGATCAGAACGACTGACGTTCGCTACGACTCGGACAACGTTCACGAATGCGGAATTTTTCGGAGCGACTGGTCATCTTACACGGATGTTTGGGTGGATATCCGAGGCGCGGGGTTATCGACGCATCGAGTGCAATATTCGATTTCTCGGGACGAGATATCGTCGACGACGATGGCCCTCGTTCGCCATCGACGGGGCTGCAAGTAATTTCGAGTGATTTCAATTTCAATTTAACCCCTCAAGCCGATTTCGCCGCTTCTCCATTACTCTATTTCGAGGATCGTCCGACAGAGACGTAATTATCCGATATTGTTGACGGCAACGAAGGCCCCATTACGAATTCTACCGTGCGCGACTAATTTCATCCGCGAGCTCGATTGTCGTTCGTAATTTCGCTACGTGCGCGACGTCGAGAAGTTTGCGGCTCTGTTGCGATCGCAGACGCACATTGAATTAATTGATCAAAGTATATATTTTAATTCGCGCCACAGATTTTTTCTGCCCGTGCCAATAATTCGAGAACGACTGACTCTAGCACCAGCTCATAATTTTTACATTTTATATCTCGTTGTGATTTTCAACATAGAGGATACTGTCAACAAGCGTCCTTGCGTTACAACACCGAGCTTATCCACTCGTGATCTCTCTCGGTCCTTTTCACGCTAATGCACCGCACAGTCGCATTTCCTTCCCCGTCGCTACTTACGCTTTAATCACGAACGACACGATGAATCAAATAACGCGGCCGTACCGTGCAAGAGAACACACATTTTCTCGGGATTTATTCAAGATCCTTGACAAATATGGAGCGCAAAAAATTGCGTTTGTCGAGGGTGGAGAGATTCACGGGGGAGGAAGGAGAGTTCCCGCCCGCGCCGGTAAAACCCCCGAAAGAAGGGTGCAGTCAGAGGAGGTGCGGGGAAACTGCACGAGGGTGGAGGTGGAAGATCCTCGGGTAAATTTTCGGCGACAGGGGTTTGGACGGGGACGGCGAAGTGGGATAGTGGGGGAGGATGAGGAACGACAATAACTTCTCGGCTCGGCGTACAATTTGATTTTATGCAACGCTTGGCACGCCTCTTAGCGCGAGATATCCTTATAACGTTTAACTAGATTGTTATGATTGTTGTCCCCGGCACCGTTTCTCTTCTCTCTCTCTCTCTCTCTCTTTTCTCTCTCTCCCTTCCTCTCCTTCCCACCTTTCTCCTTCTCTCTTTCCATTCCATCTTCAGGAGATTCGCCCTGGCGTGCACACGAGCACCGAGGTGGTGTGTACGAGTACACACACATACACATAAAGAGAGAGAGAGAGAGAGAGAGAGAGAGAGAGAGAGAGAAAGAGGCACGCATAGACAACGCGCCGGCGACGAAAACTCGTGAACGCGAATTCCCGACACTAAGCCCCCTTTCCACCCTCCTTGCCGCCGGTGTGCATATCTTCGTGCCGCGTGCGAATCCGCGTATCGTTTCTGTCTCGCGAGAAATACTGCCGCATTGCAGCTGTTAATGGAATAATCGAGAGCCTGGTGCAGTCGGGATCAGGGCAGTCCCTGATTATCCGCGAAGGCTTATCACTTATCACGTGCAAAAGAAAGTTCTCTGAATACGAAGTACATATTCCTATTAATTTAAAGTAGCACGCATTACTCGCGAAATTGTACAATTTTTATCGTGCACCAAAGTTTCTCCCTTTAACCAATCTACTATCTGCAACGTTTGGAGCGAGTAGAACGTTCTCCGGAGTCACGAGTCTCTTCAAGATGCATCCCTATGGCAAAAAGAGAGAACCGGAGCAGGATATCTCGCGCGCGATGAGATACCCGCGAGATATCGTTACCGAGCATGTGCTCCGGGAGAGAGCTGAATTTCGGATCGAAGGGTTCCCCAAGCTCGACTCGTTGGGACTTAATCCATGAGTTCGAGCTACTTATTTTCGCGGGTACGTTCCCTGCTACATCGGCGAATCCGCCGGCAACGTATGATATTCATATTCTCGACGAAGTCTGCCCCGGGGAGGTGGCTGGCGAAGGACGAAGACAGAAGGGACGGACGGCGAAGGGTATAGGGAGAGGGCGAGTGGCACAGGCTGGCTGGCTGGCTGGCTGGCTGGCTGGCTGGCTGGCTGGCTGGCTGGCTGGCTGGCTGGCTGGCTGGCTGGCTGGCTGGCTGGCTGGCTGGCTGGCTGGCTGGCTGGCTGGCTGGCTGGCTGGCTGGCTGGCTGGCTGGCTGGCTGGCTGGCTGGCTGGCTGGCTGGCTGGCTGGCTGGCTGGCTGGCTGGCTGGCTGGCTGGCTGGCTGGCTGGCTGGCTGGCTGGCTGGCTGGCTGGCTGGCTGGCTGGCTGGCTGGCTGGCTGGCTGGCTGGCTGGCTGGCTGGCTGGCTGGCTGGCTGGCTGGCTGGCTGGCTGGCTGGCTGGCTGGCTGGCTGGCTGGCTGGCTGGCTGGCTGGCTGGCTGGCTGGCTGGCTGGCTGGCTGGCTGGCTGGCTGGCTGGCTGGCTGGCTGGCTGGCTGGCTGGCTGGCTGGCTGGCTGGCTGGCTGGCTGGCTGGCTGGCTGGCTGGCTGGCTGGCTGGCTGGCTGGCTGGCTGGCTGGCTGGCTGGCTGGCTGGCTGGCTGGCTGGCTGGCTGGCTGGCTGGCTGGCTGGCTGGCTGGTGGTGGTTGGCAGAGCGTCGAAGGCAGTGGTGCAGACCAGTGGCCCGATGGAGGCAACCCTGGTATTCTAACCCTATAGCCAAGAGGGTCGCCGCTTCTGCCGCTGCCGCTGCTGGTACTGGTGCCGGCGGTGCTGCTGGTGCTGGTGCACATAACGGCGAAGAATGGTGATAACACGAAGGCGGCGGAGGCGCGCACGAGCGAGGGCGAAGGGGGATGAGAACTACGACGACGACGACGACGGCGGCGGCAGCAGCGGCGGTGGTGGTGATGGCGGGGGCGCGGATACCACTCTGGATATTTCTTATCCCAGCGCACGTAACCCTCTAACAAGCTAGCAAAGTTTACCAATAAATTGTATGACGGCGAGCGTCGACGATGGGGAGGAAGCCACCGGAATATCGTATCGCCGCGTTGGGCGGTGATGGTGGCGGCGGTGGTGGTGGTGGTGTTGGCTCGCTTTTGTTACTACCCGCCTCTACTCTTTTTTTCTCCCCTTATTCCCTTCTATCCGTTTCTTACCGATGAACCAGTCGTCTCGTCCCGATGAAATATGTTTTTCGAAAATCATGAGCATCGGTGGACGTCCGGAAACTGCCAGCTTCCGAGTTTGCACGCCGATCTCGCGCCCAGGGAGATTTCGCTTCGTTAACGTTACATCGATTGGGTCTTCGCGCCGAGAAACGTTTCTTGATAGAGACTCGTGAGTAAATATTAGGATCTGGAAAGCGTTCTGCGGTGAAAATATTGTCTCGATTTAGTTCTGCATCCGTAGTTTTGTTCTTAAGTAGCAACGTTCTAAGTTGATACTTGATTGTTAATAGAACACGTTTACGATCGCGCGCGCTTTCTGTCGCGCGAAACCGATATGATTTTTCATATATCTCTCCCTGTATCCCGACAAAACGCCAAATGTCGACGCGTAACGCCAAAGAGAGACAGACAGAGGGAGAGAGTGAGAGACAAAACTGCAACGGAAAAGCAGAAGGGAAAAAGAGTGGGGTAGAACGAACGATTATAACCGAATGCCATTTCGAGACATAATGCAGTGCGCGAGTGAGCGAGCGTACTTTATAATGGAGTCACATCACATCGGTTACACAATCACAATACTAATTCGACATAATAGCTACCTACGTTCCTCCCGATGGGGCCGAAAACGCGCGAGTGTGTTGCCGGCACCGTGCGTTGTGAAGCCCAGTCGCGATATGACGATTCTCTGATGAAGAAGAAATCTCGCAATTCAGAAAAATTGTGGATTGCCGATTAATCGCGAACTAACGATACAAATTCGAGAACGAACACCGCAGTGAAATGCAGTTGGTGGTCTCTAAAGAGTAAGAAGGAATATCGCGAGATCACATGGCAGCTTACTTTGAATTTCCCGCACGAGCCGCGACAATTTCTTAAATCTCAAAGCCACGACTCTCATGATCGATTGTGCGATTTTATCATGCTTGGAGCGCGGGGCACGCCGTTGTAGTGTCCGAGAAAAAAAGACGAACGACAAAGTGTGTGGAAAAGCACTCGGAGTGCCGCGCATTGTACACTCGTAGACAGAAAGGTTGTCCGTAATTTTTCGGCTGAGTTTGTGAACTGGCCCGATTTGTCCAATGGAAGGATTCTTAGAAAACAAATTTTCTCATTAGACAAGACGACGAGTTCGCAAACTTATCCCCAAAAATTACGAACAACCTTTTTATCCGATACGAGTGTACTAGAGAGAGGATTGCGCGTTTTCTCGAAATGATGATTGTTATATGTCAAACTAAAAAACATGTTAGTTATCAAGATACTTTACATAGGGTAACTACGGACTTAATTAAAAAAAAAAAAAATCATTGAAAACGCATCAGACCTGGTCAGAATTATGCGATAGAATGCGTTGCAGATATACTGGATCTTTTCCAATGCAAATTATAAATTTAATTCCTTGTGGAGTATGTTGCGATGATTGTACTTCACAAAGAATGAAACTTATAATATGCATTGAAAAGGATTCAATGTAGGATCGAATTTGTGGTTAATATATGATTGCAAAATAAATGGTATACTTGTGATTTTTCGCGTACATTCTTTCAGTTCTTAGCTCTTATTGGTCATTGAGATTTAAGATTCAATTTGAAATACTTGATATAAAAGTTAGTAAATTCTGACATGTCCATCTTCTGGCGCGAAAGAATTCAGCTCCAAATTTCCTGGAGAATTTACAGACGATCGAAAATGCGTGACTTCTGATACATCCTGTACATGCATGCATCTGGGTTGATCGGAAGCGATCTATTCATCTCGAAATATCTCTCGGTGGAAAGATCGCGGTGAGCGCACGCTCTGAACGTTGTCCATTCCTTTCCGCCATTCTCGTATATTTGCTCTTCTGACCGAGCAACCTCGCCGCACGGATTTACCGAAGTTCTCCGATTGCCAGGACGAAATCGCTCAATCGAATAATTTTAATCCAGTGTACCTGCCTCACGACATTCATCTCTTAATCTATTTATACACGTAGCTTCGACAGATACAAATTTATCGCTAGCTTTCTACCGACGACACGCTTCATTATTCACTTCGTCATATTTTTCACGAATATCACGATATGCGTTAAGCGATACCTACGATACATAGTATGGGCACTCTGTGAAATTTAAGCATCCCCGTTTACCCTCATTACACGCCGGTAAACCCGCAAATATGAGCAATTACCAACGGCGCTTTCGAATCGAGAAGAAAGTGCCTTTATGAAGTGTTCGAGGTCGACGCACGCTTTGTTGGCCATTAAGCAATGGTCAGTCGGCAAAAGAATGCGGTATTAATAACGCCACGATTTGTTTCCGAAAGAGAGAGCAGAGTAGAAAGAAGATGAGAGAGAAAGAGATTCGAAAGAAAAGAAGAGACAGAAGAGAGAAAGGGAACTTTGCTCGAGGCCGGACCGGAGAAGACACGAGGCTGACTGGAGGAGGTTTAAGCGTTTCTTCTCCGGTCTCTCTCTCTTCGTGTGCAATCGATTCTTCCGCCATATCGCATGGACCACTTCAGGGGGGCAAGAAGGCACGCGTTAACGCCACCACACCGACGACAGCCAGTCGGAAAAAAAAACTTCGCCCCCGGCCTCAGCCACCCCGTCCACCCTTCGCGCGCGCGCTGCCGTTCCTTCTCCTCTCGATACTTCTTTTCTACCTCGGGCCACCCGCGGCTTCGCCACTACAATATTTACGGGCTTGCAAACCGACGAGCGATTTTCACTTAAGCCGATTCACCTCGCTGACGATTCGAGATATACCTATATACACGCTGCACTTTGTTTCGCCCTCGAATGCCGACACGACGCGATCCGATGAAACGCGCAACGCGTCGCAGCAGAGCAAGCGAGGGAGAAAGTTGCAGCATCCTGCATTAACCTGTAGTTAAAAGTAGGCAGCCGTTTGCTTGATTGCTGTTTCTTCCATAGACTGTCCTCTTTCTCTTTCACCCCCCGACTAGAAATTTATTTCATGATCCTAATATCAGATCGATCCCAATCAATTATCTGTTTTGTAGGGTTAATAAGTTTGTCCGCATTATTTTACGCATTATACGACGTAATAAACAGACGATAAACAATAACATCGAGCGCGTTT